CATAAAGAAATCATGTATCGCCGACCCCAGCCGATAGTAGGGGAGCGTACAAAAAACGTTATGTGAGAGATAATTTTGGACGTTCTTGCGGCGCGCCACATACTACGTAAATGAAACAATGAAACATTAAAAAATCTAAAGTTGAATTAACATAAAACTAAATTAGAACCGACTTCGAGATAAATGTAAAAGCAAAGCACGTTGTGTTTTTTGCGGGCTAGCATGTATATATATATATATTGGTTGTACAAGCTGCAGGGGTATCCTCTCTACCAATCAACCAATAGTAAAAGGCCCTGGTTCGATTCGAAACCGGATGTGTTCGTCTCCACTGATGGTGATTTGACCACGTGATCAAAAGGGGCACTCGACTCGGTCTCGGGAGTGAAAGACCATGTCCACTGCATCGTTCGACCTGGAGCTTTTCGTTCGAGACAGCGTCTGGCGTCTGGCACTCGTGAAAGACCATGTCCAATTGGCTGAAAGGGCTGCGATGTGACAGAAGGTGTTAGTCCAACTTTGTCCTCGTGTCAAGCAGCACCCTGTTTCCATACACACATACCCTGCCACTCCGCTAGAACCCAGCCCGAGGAGAAAAAAACGGCCTTGCAGCCCTTGTAAACATCCTTGGTTCGCCAAACTGCTGAGTTGCAGGTCGCGAGTCAGACGTTCAGAAGTACTTTACAAGTTTTATATTGTCTGGATGCATGATGATGCATGTGGTTCATCGCCGTCATGAGCCATATGTTCTTTCAAGCGCATGTCGCATGAGCATGATGAGATGTGTATAAGGAACATGAACATGAACATGAAGACAGACCTTTGTCTTCAGAATGGAGCTCACACACAAACAAAAAATAGCTTGATCGCAGAGTGTGTACTGTAGTATCCCCCAATAGATCTCTATGCCAAAACACGAGTGACGAGGTGAAAACTGGCGTCTTCCTAAATCCGCCGACCCGCACGTTTGCGCGGAAGAAACCCGCACGCACCCAACTCATCCGATCCGTTCTCCTGGGCCACGGGGCCCACCGTCACCTGCGTCCTCCGGTCCCGTCCCCAGGTCCCCAGTCGTCGCACAGCGCGAGGACGAACGACTCGATGATCTCGAGACCAGGCCGCTGGGGAGTCGTTGCCAGGCTTGTTGTAGAGCTGCCCTTTGAAGGGGTTCTCCGAGGCGTTGGCCACGTCATCCTACGGCGGTGACCGTGTCGGACACGAAGACACACCGCACACCGCTGCCTTTTTGGAGCACACGAAGGTTGAATTTCAAAAACTCAGTGGGTACTCAGACCTTACTCAAAGATTGATATTCCAGAACTGTTTTTGAAGATGTAGGCTGAGAATGGCTGAGACCTGTAAAGGCCAAACACTGCGTGTCTCCCGTGGTCCTGAGCCTCCATCCTTGACCTACTGCCTCCGCCTGTCGCGCCTGCCTCCGCATGCATCGCGTCCGCCCCGTCCGAAGACATCGGAGCTTTGAGCTCGAGTAACAAAGTCCTCAAAAAGACCCAGCTAGTGGGGAATCGATGACGGGTGCCCAGTCGCCGCACTTTCCTGTGCCCCTCCTGCATCATGAGGATGATGTTGTCTGCAGGCACACCACTCTTCAGCATCAACTGATACGAATGGCAGCTGTCAGCCTCGCCCATGTCAGCTCGCGACGCTCCGGGGAAGTCGGTGTGGTCCTACTCTGCTCCGGTCCAACTTGCAGGAATTCTGGTAAAACGTGATGTTGTCTGGTCATAGTAACTTGGAGTCTCCCCCAAGTCCAGAAAAACGCTCCTACAAAAAAAGAAGCATCTCAGGTCCCAAGTCCCCCTTTGCTCCTGGACACCATCCTGAACACCTTGGTGACCTTCCATACCCATACGGCCTGGATGAAGGTGGTTCTTTAGCGTCCAACACAGCTGCAGTGCCTTGATCGACGTGCCTTTTGAAGTGCCTTGGATTTAAAACAACAAGGAGTGTCAATGGCTTTAGATGGCTTTAGTATGTAGTGATCCCTTGGTTTGGGTTGGGCAGAACCACAAATACCGCGCAAGTAAATGGTCCATAGGTGCACTAGCTAGGTGAAATCCTTTTGGGAAGGGTCATGTCCGTGGTCATATTAGTTCGTCCCAGAATAGTTGAATAGGAGAGCACTGCACAAACAATGAATTAATTATATAATCAATACATATCAATACCATCTGTATTTTCCTAGCATTCGCCGGAAAAAAAAATACGTATATAATCCCAACCCACTGCCTGGCTCACCCACACTGCCTGGTGCCTGTAGTTCCAGAAGCCACTGCTTCCAGCCGCGATGACCGCCTTGGATCCGCCCCGTCACGGTGGTGTCCACACGACGCATCCAAGAGCGACACCCCCGAGGTTGAGAGACCTGAACTAGGATCCTGTAGTGGTACATATGGGATGAGCGAAAAGGGGCTGTTCAACCTCTCTAGGCCCGGATGCCTTGGTTGGGGCATCCGCGGCTAGCAATCGAGACAACCCTCTTTTTGCGGGGGATCCTGGTATGAGTGTGTCAATCTCAGCTCTGGTTGTGTTCTCGCTGATCCTGCCATCCCAAAGAGCACAGCTCTGGTGATGTCCTGCTGCTTTGTAAGACATGTCGAAACATGTTTCGACATGCCAAGGCTCCCGCAGAGCTCCGACTTTCGCGGGCTCCACGACCTCTTTCACCCCTCCACGGCCCACGGACTCTCCACTTCTACGAAGCGCCAGGCCACCCACTTCTCCGCCGTGACGGCGACTGGGAAGAACCTCACCGGACATCCACCAGTGTCCGGGACCTGTACCAGGACCCCCCCAGGAGTTGGGTGGTTCATGGGCATCCCGAATCACAGCTTTTTGGGGGAGTATAAATAGACACCTCTACAGGAGGGTCCTGGTACAGCGAAAATTACAGCGAAATCACCGTCTTGCACTGCATGATTGTACTTTGCACTTCCTTGTCAATGTGTCAATATGTGTCAATCTTGCAACTGTGTTTGCAGCTGGTGCAGGTCATTCTAGGACTACAAAACACCGCCCGTGTCCGCAAATTTACTAGCTCTACAGTTCACTGTGTTTAAAACGTTGTTTTTGTTAACTTTCGGTTTGATGGGTGTCGGGGGTGCACTTTGTAATCATTGCAAAATTCCAGGCTGGGTTCACTCTAACCTTCATTCTGGGAGCAATGCAAAGCTAGGATTCATAAACCAATCCGAGCCCACACAGCACCCAAAATTCCCCACATTTACCCAGACGCGACCCTGGGCCCGAATCCTCTGGAGGGGTCGGACCCGAATCCTCTGGAGGGGTCTGGGATCTCTCAATTAATTCCCTAGGTTTTGAGGGACCAAGGGCTGTTTGGAGCATCTGGGTACAAGTATTATTGGTGGTTAATTTCCCCCTGAATAAGGTTGCTGGGTGCTAGAAACCCTTCACCCAACTAATCCGAGCCCCAGAGCCAGGTCAATTTTGTGAATTTTGTGTCAGCTTTACTATACTACAGTACTACTATCTACTACTATCTACTATCTACTACCTACTATCTATTACCTACTACCCACTACCCACTACCCACTAC